TCCTGTCTCTTATGTTTAGCGTTCTCACCCTATGTTGCTTCGTTCCCACGTCTCTCGTCCTCCCCTCCTGCCTTCGCCTCTTGCATCGTCGCTCGCTGTCGCGCCTCCCCCTCTGTCTGACTACCTTCATGCCTCTCGTCTTCTTGTTCCTCGGGTCCTTGCCTCCCTCGTTACCGACCCGTCTGTCCCTTTCTCGAGTCTTGACGCTCTTGTCGCTGCCGTAGATGACTTCGCCTCTACCCGCCGCCTTGATTACGCCACCGCTCTGGTCTCTCACCCTTTCTGTCCTCCATCCATCGAGGGTGCGTCTGCCCTTGGCTGTGATGTCCTAGAGGACAGATTGTACAAGCTTGCAGTCCTGTCTGAGGCTGCTCCCCTTCTCTGTTTCATGCTGATAGTCCCTGAGCGTGACCCAGACGCCTTTGACATCCTGACCCATCGCACTTAAGCTGAGGCGACCTCGTGACCCTGGGCCTCTCAGTGGATAGCTGCCATGGAGCAGGAGATGGCATCTTGGAGATCCACCGGCACCTACGCCAACGCAGTTCCCCCACCTGGGGTGAACGTAGTGGATGGCGGGTAGCTTTTCAAGATGAAGCACCCACTTGGAGAGCCACCTTTGTTCATGGCGCGCTACGTAGCTAGAGGCTTTTGTCAGCGCGAGGGGGTGGACTTCTTTCAGACCTTCGTCGTGACCCCGAAGATGACTACTCTTCAGGCGCTGCTACACGTAGCAACACAGCGTGACTACGAGTTACACTCCCTCGAATTCTCCACAGCATTTCTCCAGGGTAGTCTACTCGAGCAGGTCTACCAGTGCCGACCGCAGGGCTTCACCGGTACCTTCTCTCCTGGGACCCAGTGGCTCCTCCGCCGTCCAGTCTACGGCATGCGACAGGCTCCCCGCGAGTGGCACGACACACTGCGTGCTACGCTAGCTGACCTGCAGTTCTGCAGACCCCTCGCTCTTTGTTCGTGCTGGTCAGACTCCATTCTACATCCTTGTCTATGTAGACGACGTGATCTTCGCTACTGCAGACAGAGACGCACTGGCCTCTGTGAAGGCCGAGCTGTTGAGGAGACACACGTGCACTAACCTAGGAGAGTTGCGCCGCTACCTTGGCGTGCAGATCTCCAGGGACAGAGCAGCGCGCACCATCACTCTCACACAGTCACACTTGGTGCGCCAGGTCCTTCAGAGGTTCGGTCTTCAGATCTCCTCCGCACAGCCCACACCTCTGTCAGGAGATGACAGGCTCTGTGCTCTAGTTCGTAAGAAGTCAGTAGAGCCTAGAGGTCCTTGGGCAGAGTTGTTGGGTTGCCTCATGTACTTGATGACTTGCACTCGTCCAGATCTCGCACACCTCGCAGCATCCTGGCTCGCTTTGTGGCTAGAGGCAGATACCGACCACAGCACTGGTCTGCCGCTAAGAGGGTTTTGGGTTATCTAGCAAGTACATCGGGCATGGGGTTAGTGCTGGGAGGACGCAGGCTAGTAGTCCTTATTGGGCACACAGACAATTCTTGGGCAGACGACGCTGAGACTCTCAGGTCCTCCCAGGGCTACTGCTTTAGCTTTGGTTCAGGTGCCATCTCGTGGAGGTCCACTCGCTCCTCATCTGTTGCTCAGTCTAGCTGTGAGGCTGAGATCTACGCCGGTGCCATGGCTGTGAGAGTACGACCCCATTACACCAATTTCCCCTTTCCATATTTCCTTTCTATTTCATTCCTCTTTTTATCCTCATTCATTTGGTCTTTATCTCATCTTATTTGGTTTCCTATTCCTCCTTTTCCATCATCCTTTGGTTTATCCTGTTATTATAATTATATCACCGACCAGGCTCGGGATGTACTGGCGCGCTATATCTAGCGTAATCCTGCCGTAATCCCTTAAAGCCAATAGCCTCGCGTGGCTATACGCAGGGTGATTCTATTTCTAGAAGGGTCTATTCCCTTTGGATAGGATAAACCTGGTTACCTGATGTAATCTGGAAGTATAAAAGCACCTTGTACTGATTGATAGTGCAACATTGAGCAAACCTTTCCTCGACACATTCGATCCTGTGACACTTGGTATCAGAGCCAAGGTTTCAGCTCAACGCTTAACCGCTGGGCCCCCAGGAGCACGCAGAGGATGGAGTCGAAACTTCAATTCCTGTAAGTACAATGCACTTTCATTTAAGTTTCGACTCACCTCTCGCAGTTGCACCTGGGGTCCCCTTCGAAGGCGAGATGCCTCGCCAACCGTTCGATGGACTGCATCGACGGTGCCGATTTTTCGCGGGGGCAAACAGTATCGACCTGGCGAACGCGTCAGTTCCGGCGGAACACTCCCTGCGACATTCGGAGACGTTCGCAGTTCGCGACAACACTTGGAGTTGCGCGGAACTCTGCGGAGGTTCGACCGACGACATCCGTCCGATGGAGATTCGACGCTTCAGATCGACCGAGGCGAAAACGAAATCCTACCGAGAGAGTTCGAGTTTCAGGGCGAATGGGAACGGGACCTCGCAAGACGCAAGTTCTTCGGAGCGTCCGATCGTTCGACAGCCGACATCGACGACCGAGAATTGCTGCAGGAAACGAGTCAACCCGGGCGCCGAAAGCTGCTGAACGCGACTCAGGAGTATCCTCAGATCGCTTGGAGTCTGGACCGTCGGATTGACTTCTACTTCAACGGACGAGATGGAGCGCGACTTCTGCACGAAGGGAGAATGACGCGCAGAACCCGAAATTGGCCGCCCTCAACATCGTTGACAACATTTGGACAACCAAATTCGGAATCCTCTATTTGGTGACGAATATGGTGCGCAAATCATCTGCAGAGTCAGAAATCTGCCAGAGTATTACCTACTTGGTAATATCTGCATGCAGAAAACTGATGGGAGAACGTGGATCGTCGGATCGTTGCGGAATCAACGGCACGAATGCAGCAGAGACTACACTTATGGGAAATCATCACCATGGAGACAACATTCGTGACCAGCGACTGCACAATCGACGCATCTTCTAACTAGTGTCGATAACGATCTATTTATTTTGACGAAGTCATCTTCGTTAAAAATGGATCGACATCAAGACGACGGAATCTTCACCCAGGAAAAACAATGGAGCTGCGTGAAGACATGTTCTCCATCCACGAGACACTTCTTCATACAAATTGATCGACAACCTATGGGATTGCAGAGAAGTAGCCGTTTTCTCTTGCAATGCTCCCAAGTTCAAGTTGATGCGAAGGAGCAGATTTCGCACGCAACGACGACGCAGTGAACCCGTCTCGTCAAGGCCAGCGAGACACTACTTCGTAACAGGAGCTGACCGATTCGTCTTCATCAAGAATCTCAGCCATCCGAGGTGATTGATTGGAGCAGTCTCAACATCGACCTCACGAGGCGACACACCAATCATGCGTCGCGATTCCAGGTGTTAATGACCTGCGTGGAAGAAAATTCCGTGCACGTCACGATGCTTGACAGATTGAGGAGTAATTAACCTCTAATCTGGCAAGTACTCGTTCACTAGCGACCCTACGGCACATGCATTGGAGGCGATTCTACCAGAAGCCGAAGCGTTACAAGCATCAACGTAACTTCGACGATGCAGGAGAACGTCAAGCAACACGAGGTGTCAACAAATGAGGGAGATGCGGACTACTACAACATGATCACGCGCTCTACCGACCGTACATCGGAGGCACGGATGAGCATACCAGGAATTGCTACCCGTTGATACATTGAGGGGAGAAGCAAATTTCTCTTCACACCCTCAAATGAAACAATCACCGGCAGCAATGGAGCAACACATGTGTACTAATGTGCACGTGTTCCTGGTAGTTACGCCTGTTACACCCATGAGGAACACTCTACTGGGAAGAGGGAGTTGATGGATTCTCCTTCAACTGGTACGAGTTGAGAGAATTCTCTGCAGCAGCTGCCGCCGTCGCCGTCGTCGCAACCGCCGCCGCCGCCGCAGCAGAAGACTCGACACAACAGTCACAACCAAACCCTGATGGATGATTCTCCACTCAATGGAGATAACACTGGATTATATTCCAGTATGATGATGAAGTCCCGGCCAGGCACAGTACTATGATTTCCAACTAGTGAGAAGGAGATACCACTATGCGAGGAAACAACATGGCAATGCCATATACTCTCAAGAGCAGAAGATATTTGCTCTTATGAGGATGGGAGGACTACGGTACTCTACCGGTATACAGTCCTCATGGCCTATGGCTTTTCCTTAAAGTCATAAAACATGCGTCGCAACCAATCCATCACCAGCACCAACTCCACGGAAGCAGATAGGCGTGGAATGGAGCGCCGACGCCACTCCGGATAGTGGACTCCGCGTATCTCCAACAACACCCCTATTTGCCGAAATGGAGCAGACTTCAACACTGATGCTGAGTAGCTGAGACTTCTTCGACATCAACGTTACTTCAAGGACAGTAACAGAATGAGACAACACATGATGGCACCAGAAGACCTATCCCAATATGTGCGCAGACACCGATGCCTACCGATGGCCTCCGTGCTAAACTGGACGTGCATAAGGTCATACCGATGGCGATTTTTTTTTTTTTTTTTTTTTTTTATCATCGCGCGATGCGATGAATTAATATCGCGCGATATAATTTTAATCGCACTAAAAAACGCGATTTAAATTCGATATGCGATTTTTTTTAAATCGCTCGCGATATTGCACTGAAACCCACTACGAAACCACACTGGTTATTTGCACTCTAGCTAACAACTGTCCGTGAGTCAATTTCCCCGCAACCATGTTTTTTTTTCTGTTTTTTGGGGGTTTTTTTAATTCTGTTTTAAAACGCGATGCGATTCAAAATCGCATTGCGCGATTTAATTAAATATCGCATGCGGTTTTTTAATACATCGCGGGTAAAATGCGATGTGCGATTTAAAATCGCATCGCTTTTTTAAACATCGCACCTGCATGCGATGCGATTTAAATCGCAATCGCGTTTTGATCATGTCTAGGAGAGGGGGGGAAGGAGAGGGGGGGAAGGAGAGGGGGGGGGAGGGGGGGAAGGAGAGGGGGGGAAGGAGAGGGGGGAAGGAGGGGGGGGGGGGGGAAGGAGAGGGGGGGAAGGAGAGGGGGGAAGGAGAGGGGGGAAGGAGAGGGGGGGAAGGAGAGGGGGGGAAGGAGAGGGGGGGAAGGAGAGGGGGGGAAGGAGAGGGGGGGAAGGAGAGGGGGGAAGGAGAGGGGGGAAGGAGAGGGGGGGAAGGAGAGGGGGGGAAGGAGAGGGGGGAAGGAGAGGGGGGAAGGAGGGGGGGAAGGAGAGGGGGGAAGGAGAGGGGGGGAAGGAGAGGGGGGAAGGAGAGGGGGGGAAGGAGAGGGGGGGAAGGAGAGGGGGGGAAGGAGAGGGGGGGAAGGGAGGGGGAAGGGGGGGGGGAAGGAGAGGGGGGGAAGGAGAGGGGGGAAGGAGAGGGGGGGAAGGAGAGGGGGGAAGGAGAGGGGGGGAAGGAGAGGGGGAAGGAGGGGAGGGGGGGAAGGAGAGGGGGGGAAGGAGAGGGGGGAAGGAGAGGGGGGAAGGAGAGGGGGAAGGAGAGGGGGGAAGGAGAGGGGGGAAGGAGAGGGGGGAAGGAGAGGGGGGAAGGAGAGGGGGGAAGGAGAGGGGGGGAAGGAGAGGGGGGAAGGAGAGGGGGGAAGGAGAGGGGGGAAGGAGAGGGGGGAAGGAGAGGGGGAAAGGAGAGGGGGAAAGGAGAGGGGGGAAAGGAGAGGGGGGAAAGGAGAGGGGGGAAAGGAGAGGGGGGAAAGGAGAGGGGGGAAAGGAGAGGGGGAAAGGAGAGGGGGGAAAGGAGAGGGGGGAAAGGAGAGGGGGAAAGGAGAGGGGGGAAAGGAGAGGGGGGAAAGGAGAGGGGGGAAAGGAGAGGGGGGGAAGGAGAGGGGGAAAGGAGAGGGGGGGAAGGAGAGGGGGGAAGGAGAGGGGGGAAGGAGAGGGGGGAAGGAGAGGGGGGAAGGAGAGGGGGGAAGGAGGGGGGAAGGAGAGGGGGGAAGGAGAGGGGGGAAGGAGAGGGGGGGAAGGAGAGGGGGGGAAGGAGAGGGGGGAAGGAGAGGGGGGGAAGGAGAGGGGGGGAAGGAGAGGGGGGGAAGGAGAGGGGGGGAAGGAGAGGGGGGAAGGAGAGGGGGGAAGGAGAGGGGGGAAGGAGGCATGGCCTGCCGCATGACTGATGGCATGGCCTGCCGCATGGCTGATGGCATGGCCTGCCGCATGGCTGATGGCATGTCCTGCCACATGACTGATGGCATGGCCTGCGGCATGACTGATGGCATGGCCTGCCGCATTTGCTGATGGCATGGCCTGGCGCATGGGTGATGGCATGGCCTGCCGCATGACTGATGGCATGGCCTGCCGCATGGCTGATGGCATGGCCTGCCGCATGGCTGATGGCATGGCCTGCCGCATGGCTGATGGCCTGCCGCATGGCTGATGGCATGGCCTGCCGCATGGCTGATGGCATGGCCTGCCGCATGACTGATGGCATGGCCTGCCGCATGGCTGATGGCATGGCCCGCCGCATGGCTGATGGCATGGCCTGCCGCATGACTGATGGCATGGCCTGCCGCATGGCTGATGGCATGGCCTGCCGCATGGCTGATGGCATGGCCTGCCGCATGGCTTATGGCATGGCCTGCCGCATGGCTGATGGCATGGCCCGCCGCATGGCTGATGGCATGGCCTGCCGCATGACTGATGGCATGGCCTGCCGCATGGCTGATGGCATGGCCTGCCGCATGACTGATGGCATGGCCTGCCGCATGACTGATGGCATGGCCTGCCGCATGGCTGATGGCATGGCCTGCCGCATGGCTGATGGCATGGCCTGCGGCATGGCTGATGGCATGGCCTGCCGCATGGCTGATGGCATGGCCTGCCGCATGACTGATGGCATGGCCTGCCGCATGGCTGATGGCATGGCCTGCCGCATGGCTGATGGCATGGCCTGCCGCATGGCTGATGGCATGGCCTGCCACATGGCTTATGGCATGGCCTGCCGCATGGCTGATGGCATGGCCCGCCGCATGGCTGATGGCATGGCCTGCCGCATGACTGATGGCATGGCCTGCCGCATGGCTGATGGCATGGCCTGCCGCATGACTGATGGCATGGCCTGCCGCATGACTGATGGCATGGCCTGCCGCATGGCTGATGGCATGGCCTGCCACATGACTGATGGCATGGCCTGCCGCATGGCTGATGGCATGGCCTGCCGCATGGCTGATGGCATGGCCTGCCGCATGGCTGATGGCCTGCCGCATGGCTGATGGCATGGCCTGCCGCATGGCTGATGGCATGGCCTGCCACATGACTGATGGCATGGCCTGCCGCATGGCTGATGGCATGGCCCGCCGCATGGCTGATGGCATGGCCTGCCGCATGACTGATGGCATGGTCTACCGCATGACTGATGGCATGGCCTGCCGCATGGCTGATGGCATGGCCTGCCGCATGACTGATGGCATGGCCTGCCGCATGGCTGATGGCATGGCCTGCCGCATGACTGATAGCATGGCCTGCCGCATGGCTGATGGCATGGCCTGCCGCATGACTGATGGCATGGCCTGCCGCATGGCTGATGACATGGCCTGCCGCATGACTGATGGCATGGCCTGCCGCATGGCTGATGGCATGGCCTGCCGCATGGCTGATGGCATGGCCTGCCGCATGGCTGATGGCATGGCCCGCCGCATGGCTGATGGCATGGCCTGCCGCATGACTGATGGCATGGCCTGCCGCATGGCTGATGGCATGGCCTGCCGCATGGCTGATGGCATGGCCTGCCACATGGCTTATGGCATGGCCTGCCGCATGGCTGATGGCATGGCCCGCCGCATGGCTGATGGCATGGCCTGCCGCATGACTGATGGCATGGCCTGCCGCATGGCTGATGGCATGGCCTGCCGCATGACTGATGGCATGGCCTGCCGCATGACTGATGGCATGGCCTGCCGCATGGCTGACTGCATGGCCTGCTGCATGACTGATAGCATGGCCTGCCGCATGGCTGATGGCATGGCCTGCCGCATGGCTGATGGCATGGCCTGCCGCATGACTGATGGCATGGCCTGCCGCATGACTGATGGCATGGCCTGCCGCATGACTGATGGATGGCCTGCCGCATGGGTGATGGCATGGCCTGCCGCACCAGAAGAGCACAGAGAAGGGAGGGCGGTGATGACGTGGCATGGTCAATGTGGCATGGCCCTACGTATGGCATGCGTCGTGGCCCTACCTATGGCATGCATCATGGCCCTACCTATGGCATGCATCATGGCCCTACCTATGGCATGCATCATGGCCCTACCTATGGCATGCATCATGGCCCTACCTATGGCATGCATCATGGCCCTACCTATGGCATGCATCATGGCCCTACCTATGGCATGCATCATGGCATTGCTTTACGCATGGCATGGATTCCTGCATGTGTCATGGCATGGTTCTCACTGTGTGCTCTGAAATATGGTATGATATGGATATAACCTCTGGTTACTGTACATGCCATGGACAGTGGACTCAATGAGCGCGTTTATAGGAGTTATACTAGAAATCTTATATATGTATATCTTCTACGTATAACTTAATTGCTGGCAGGTATCCGGGAGGACGGAGTGTGGAGGACTTGGTTTCCTTCACCAATGAGAAGCTAGGTGAGTGCTTTCTTTTCCTTGCATCCTTGTGCTTGTAACGAAGAGCTTTTTCTTGCAAGCAATGGCGCCTCAACTCAACACTCGCGTGTCCCTCCCTCCCCCTCCTTCCCTCTTGCTGCAGGCACCAGCTTGCTCCGCCTCTTGGGGGAGGGGAGGGAGGGACCCACCCGCAGAGCAGGAGGGACCCACCCGCAGAGCAGGAGGGACCCACCAGCAGAGCAGGAGGGACCCATCTGCTCTGCTGGCGCCAGCAGGAGAGCCGTCTACTTGATGCCACATGCTCCTCCCGTCATCTTATCCTCCCGTCGACCCCTCCCCCCCTCCTCCCCCCCTCTTTTGCTGCAGGCACCAGCGAAGGCGCCAGCAGCAGAGGCATCTGCTTGACATGGGGCTCCGCGTGAAGGCAGTGGCACAAAGGCGCCTCAACAACACTCTTGCCTTCCTCCGCCCCTCCCCTTGCTGCAGATCCCTGTTCACGCCAGCGATGGCGCCAACAGCAGCAGAGAAATCTCCTTAATGTCCCTTGGTTGGTTCTCCTCTCCTCTCCTCTCCTCTCCTCGTCCTCCCCCACCTCCCTGTTGCTGCAGGCACCAGCGTCAAACCGCCAGCAGCAGAGCCATCAGATGTGGTAACCCTATCACCTGACAACTTCGACGCAGTGGTCTTGGACCCATCCAGATTCGTACTTGTGGAGTTCTACGCGCCCTGGTGAGTTGCCCGTGCCGCATGGTGGGATGAGCAACTCTTAGGGTCAAATTCCACTGCTCGTGTCAGCTCGAGGTCGGGCAATATGACCCGAGGATAGATTGCACTCGAGGGGCAAATCTGATGGTGCGTGTCAGGCCTTCCTAGGGATCTATGACCCAAGGCTGGTTGACCTGGAGTCTAAGACGAGCTGCAGAATGTACCCTTAGGCAGGAGGGTAAGGTGGCACTCCTGGTCAGGGTTGGTTGGTGAGAGTAGGTGAGTGCCATTGGGTGCAGTGGTCTCAGACCCAGTCAAACTCGTGCGCGTGGAATTTACGTGCTCACTACATCCAATGACATGACACTCACCAAGTGTCACTAACCCTCATTCACGTGCCCTTGTAGGATGCCATGCAACATGGTGAGTTGCCATGCAACATGGTGAGTTGCCATGCAACATGGTGAGTTGCCATGCAACATGGTGAGATGCCATGCAACATGGTGAGATGCCATGCAACATGGTGAGTTGCCATGCAACATGGTGAGATGCCATGCAACATGGTGAGATGCCATGCAACATGGTGGTGAGATGCCATGCCCCATGAAGAGATGCCATACCCCATGGTGAGATGCCATGCCCCATCGAGAGATGAGCAACTCTAGGGCAGTGGATAATGACCCAATGTATATTTATACTATTGTATGAATGTGGTGCGCATCTATAGATTATAATGCATATGGACAAAGTGCTTGTATATGTATGACAATATGGGCACTTCATTACTGTTACACCTCTTTACCTTCACTTCCTTTCAGGTGCAAGTTCTGCCAAGACCTCGCGCCAGTAAGTCCTCACTTCTGAAGCACCTCAAATCCTGCGCGTAGAGATTGAACTTTAAATCAGGTGCCAGTTATCTCAGTACCTCGCTCTGGTAGTCCCTCACTTCCCTTAAAACCGTCTCAACACCCCACCTTCATTTGACCTTCTTAGATGAATAGTCTCGCCTCCTGTCCCTCTCCATTCAACACATCCCTCCCCTGTGCTGTGCAAATTCCATGTTCCCTACGAACCTTCTTCTCCTCAGCGGCTTTGTACTCTCTCTCACCCCGTCTGCCCGAATCCCGTGTCCACTTGTGCCTATTCTACCGCTTCTCGCGCTCCCTCCCTCCCTCTCCCAGGCGTGCGAGCAGCTGGGGTGGGCGTTCAAAGCGGAGGACAGGGCGGTGATTGCCAAGCTGGTCGCCAGTCTTGCCTCTCTCTTCCCTCTCCATGCACCCTGTACCCTGTACCCTGTACCCTGTACCCTGTACCCTGTACCCTGTACCCTGTACCCTGTACCCTGTACCCTGTACCCTGTACCCTGTACCCTGTACCCTGTACCCTGTACCCTGTACCCTGTACCCTGTTCCCTGTACCCTGTACCCTGTACCCTGTACCCTGTACCCTGCACCCGGCACCCTTCCCCCAGGCATACGAGCAGCTGGGCCAGGCATTCACAGCGGAGGACAGGGTGGTGATTCCAAGATGGACGCCCGTCAACCCTCTTAACCCCTCCTCCCTCTCGCCCCTCCCTCTCCCCCGCCCCTCCCTTCCCCCAGGCATACGAACAGTTAGGCCAGGCGTTCAAAGCGGAGGACAGGGTGGTGATTGCGAAGCTGGACGCCAGCACGCACAGGGAGCTCAAGGAGACGTGAGTGCGATTTGTATGTGCCGTCGGTGAGTGGGAATGGAAAGTGTGAGTGGGAATGGAAAGTGTGAGTGGGAATGGGAAGTGTGAGGGAATGGAAAGTGAGTGGGAGTGGAAAATGTGAGTGGGCGTGGAAATGGGAATGGGAGCGGGAGAGGGAACGGGAATGTGCCAAACTGTAAACTAAGAATCATCTCACCTTGTTTGTTCCTTTTGCTTCCGGTGCATCTCTATTGTAACAACATTTTTGGGTTGCGTAGCAACCTTTTACAATCGGTCGGTGGACCGATTTCGGACGAATTTGTTTAGTCGGCCTAATAACCCGCACTACATATTTTTCCGGGTCTAATGCGTCGCTCACTCTAACGACACTGGTTTCCATCTAAAATTGGTTATCTACAATTTGAATGTTTACATTCTCCTCCCGTAGAGAATCCCTACGTATCCGTTTGTTTGTTGGTTCCTTTTACTGTAACTCAGAAACTTAGCGTATCAAAAGACCTTTCTAGCTCGCATAACAAAAATATATGTTTCCCAATTATTATGTGGTCGATAATGACGACGACGACATAATAATTGAGCAACATAGAGTTTTGTAACGATGTTCTACGCTTTCTAAGAATGATGAGAGAGGCTCGAATCATTCGCCGTCGATAATTACGGCGGAGAATGATAGGAACCACAACAACATCACCACCATATTCAAAGCATGTAGACAGAGCGCATCTTACCAACACACACACATACAACGGCTCGGCTCGACAACAAAACAATATAGCAAAACGATCGTGAATGGAGTAAAACGAATGCATCAATGCGTTCGTGCCACAATAGAGATTGACATGCACGTTATGGGAAGAAATTCCCAAACCGGCAACGACAATCGCAAATTGTATGATGCACTAGGCATAGTCAGCATCGTTTTCCTGCACGCACGCACAAAACACAACAATGTACAACACATGCTACCAAACAAATTACAGTGCAATAGTGATTGCAAAGAAAGCAATGCATCAATGCTTTCGTGCTACAATAGAGATTGACATGCACGGAATGAAAAGCAATTCCCAAAACCGGCAACGACAATCGCAAATTGTGTGATGTACTAGGCATAGTCAACATCCTTCCCCTGCAAGCACAACGCAATGCAACACCGTGCAACCCAAGCCAGCAAAGTGATACGCACTTTGTCAACCAATGCTACCACGCATACGCACATACACAAGCAACACGACATAAAAAACCAGGACACAAAACAACAATGCAAATGCATGCAAGTCAAACACGAAGTTATAATGGGTAGCACGAAAATATGACCAAAAGTCAACTTCAAATATCTATCAATTAATGTTGCCAACAGGATTGACCAGATTTTGAGTGAGAAGACTTGGAATGTGATGACTTGAACTTCGAGGACTTGGAATGTTCTTGGAATGTGACAACCTTGAACGTGATGACATGACTGGAGAGGATAACAGGGGAGAAAATAAGAGGGAAGAGCTTGAGGGCCTATTCCTACGTGACACGATGTCACGCTACTTCGTGTCATTTAGGATTTTGCCTGTCAAATTTGCCCGTCGATACAATTGTTGACACGAAGTAGCGTGACATTGTGTCACGTAGGAACACGCCGTGAGACACCAGCAACCAGAGAGAAACTAAAGCGATTAGGTGGGGAGAAAGGGAACGGACGCTAAGGGGAAAACGGAGCAGCGGAGACAAACGTAAGAAAGGCGGACAAGGAGAAGGGAGCAGCAAGTGCAAGAGAGAAGCAACCGCTGAACTGAGAAGCAAACGCAGGGTAGAAACAAGTGTAGGGGAAAAGCAAAAGCAGAAAGGAGAGTAAGGAGCAAGGAAGAGCGGCAGAGGGAGGGAGAGGGTCACACAGAGGGAGGAATGAATAGGCGGGGTAAGAATGGAGAGGGGCGAACAGAGGGTGGAAGAACGTAGAGGTAGAACGGTTTAAAAGAGCTGAGGGGGAAATGGAGGCGAGAAGACTGGAGGGGAAAGAATGGAGGGGAAGAACGGAGCGGAAGGACAGAGGCACACAGACAGGGGAAGAATGGAGGGAGGAAGAACAATAAACAATGAGAGAGAGTATAATGTATACCTGAGAATGGGCTGCACTTGGGCTTGTAAGAATATAGATTGCAAAAGGCAATAAAGCAGAAGGGGGATGAGGTAAGATGAACGCAAGGGGTAAAGGAGGGGGGGGGGGAGAGCGTTGGTGAGGAAGAATGGAAAGGGAACGGCAGAGGGAGGGAGAGCAGAGGGCGGGAGAATGGAGGATGAAAGGATGGGGGGGGGAATGGAGGGGGGAAGACAGAGGTAGTAAAAAGTGAGTGGGGAAACCGGGAATGAGGGAAACAGTGAGAGGAAGAACGGAGGTGGAAAGACACAGGGAGGAAGAAGGGAGGGGGGGCGGCAAAGTTTGAGGAACGAAGGGGGGATGACAAAGGGGGAGGAACGGAGGGGGACGACGAAGGGGTGGGAATGGAGGGGGGACGACAAAGGGGGAGGGACGGATGGGGGACGACAAAGGGGGAGGAACGGAGGGGAGAAGTCAGAAGGGGGAAGACAGAGTGGGGAAGAACGAGCGATGGAAGATGGAGGGCGAAAGAACTGACGGTGGAAGAATGTAGAGAGCACAGCGTTAGCGCATAGCAATTGAGCTCGAGACTAGTAAGCTTGCTCTAAGTGCACTACCAGCTGGTGCATTTTAAACGGCAAATGCGCTAGCAAAAAATACGGTAATGAACTACCATTTAGTGCGCCATCAGCAAGTGCGTCACAGCAAGTGTGACAGCAAGGGGCGTTTAAGCAGAAAGCGAACTAACATCAACTCTGCTAGAAGCAAGTACGAAACTAGCAAGTGGACTAGCCAGGGGAAAGAGACAGAGGGGAGAGGCCCGCCTAGCTGTAGCGACTCTCACCTGGAGTCGGTGGTATGCTCGCTCACCTGCAGTTTCATGGCACGTACCCTTCCTTCTCCATCCTCCCACTTCCTCCTCCCCCTTTTCCCTCCATGCCACGACGACTCGCACAGCGCCATGTGCGCACACGGCCGCAGAGACATGGCGTCAACGCAAAATGCGCCAGAGCAAACGGCGCCAGCACGAAACGCACCAGCGCGCAAGGCGCCAGCACGCACAGCGCCAGCACGCACAGCGCCAGAGCGCAAGGCGCCAGCGCGCACGGCGCCAGCACGAAACGCGCCAGCACGCAAGGCGCTAGCACGCAAGGCGCCAGCGCGAACTGACATGGCTTAGGTAACAGTTAAGCGTATTTAGGAGCAAGAACTAGGATGCTAGGACTAGGTATGAGACTAATCTACACGAGCAAGAACAAGGCACGAGGGAAGAGAAAGAACAAGCTACTGTACGAGCGAGGGACGAGCAAGAACGAGGCACTGGTGGAAGACTCACCAACAAACCTTAGCAGGGGTGTGTTCGCTCTGTCCCTGAAAGCCATTCATTTGTAGGTCAACACCGTTACAAACGTCGAAAGAGCAATCCAAAACATTACTTTTATTTAGAACATTAAAGCGTTTCTAAAGTTCTTAATGTTACCAATTTTGTCATACATCCATTGTCCCAATCAAATTGAAGTATTGTACATTCCTAATAAAATGGTTCCAGGAAAAAAATGCATTTCAGTATGTGCAAGAAAATGTGGATACATACGCAACCCATCCGACGATTTACGTCGAGCCTTGTTTTTATCCTTTAACCTACTGCAGTTACAATGTCTCTGGTTACCCTATCAGGCCAAGTTTCCCTCCCGCCATCAGTAATAACCGCTTGTATTTTCTCTCCTCCTTTCTCACCCACTGCAGTTACCATGTGTCTGGTTACCCTACCATCAAGTGGTTTCCCCCGTCCAACAAGAATGGGGAGGAATACAACGGCGCGTGGGAGCTGAGCGATCTGGTGAAGTTTGTCAACAAGGAAGCGGGCACGCACAGAACTACTACTGGGAAGCTGTCTGACATGGTGGGTGTAATGTAAGGCGTTGCACATACATGGTAGGAGTGGAACCTTATTGAGATACGGTGTCAAAGGTGTGGCATGGGAGTTGGGCGAGCTGGTGAAGTTTGTCAACAGGGAGGCACGCACTGAACCACTTCCGGAAAGCTCTCTGACAGGGTAAGAGTGTGGGGGGGCTCAATGCGCTAGTGGGGGCTGAAGCACTAGGGGGGATTACAATGACGCGTGGGACCTGACTGATAGAGTGAAGTTTGTCAACAAGTTTCTGCAGTGAGGTGAGCTGGTATGCGTAACGTGCCTCAGGCCAGTAGTGGGGCGGGGATTGAAGGCACACGACACGAGAGCGCTGCGATTGCAAGTGGGAGCTGGTCAATCCGGTGAAGTTGGCCAACAAGGAAGCCGGCTCGCTCGCACATTACGAGTACTGGGAAACTGTTGGATATGGTGAGTGTGAGGTGAACCGGTGTGTGTCGTGTAAGGCACATAGCATACACACATTACACAAGAGTGTTTGTTGGCAGAGAATGCTTTTGAGGTGCCTCAAAGGCAGTAAGGCACATGAGGACAAGAGTGTTCGTTGGCAGAAAACATTGTGAACTGGCGTGCCTTCCCTAATAGGATCTGTCCCTTCCCTCACCCTCACCTCCATCCCCACCCAGGCAGGGCGCATAGCCGCGCTGGACGAGGTGGCTCGAGGGTTCATCGGAGCAAGCCAGGAGGAGAGGGAGGAGCGATTGGGGAGGGCGGAGAAGGTGCACGTGACAGAAGAAGAAGCCAAGTGAGTCTGCGGAAAGACATTGCGGTATTAGGTAGGTAGGTGCAGGTGAGAGGAGTCATCCGAGCAAGCAAGGAGGAGAGGGAGGAGCGATTGGGGAGGGCGGAGAAGGTGCGTGTCACGGAGGAGCAGGCCAAGTAAGTGGGGCGACAGAGGGCGGTGGGTAAGGGCAGGGTGGTTATAGCTGTGTTGAGGCGAGCTAGCTCTGAGGCTTACGGCGGGCATGCAGGAGAGGGAGGGGAGTGTTGGGTGGGCGGAGAAGGTGCAAGTGACAGAGGAGCAGGCAAAGTGAGTGGGGCAATAGAGGCGGCGGGGAAGGGCAGGGCGGTTAAAGCAGCGCTGGACGAGCCTGCTCGAGGGTTTATTGGGGCAGGCAAGGAGGAGAGGGAGGAGAGGGTGGGAATGCATGGATATGTTCTTGGTGTGGCAAGCACAAGCACATGGCCATGTGCATCAAGACAATGAGCAACGTAGTGGAGAAGGGTGATCCGTGACTGTGTGTGGCATTTGTGTCTCATGTCTGATGTGTGCTGTGTGCGCTGTGAACTGACTGTGTGTGGCAGGCAAGCAGCCGTGTACGTCAAGACAATGAGGAGCATAGTGGAGAAGGGCGATGAGTACGCGGAGAATGAAGTCAACCGGCTCGGCAGGCTGCTGCTGGGGGTGAGTCAAAGGTTTTGCTGTATGCCAGGTGAAACGGTCTCACGAGGTGAAACGGTCTCAGATGTATGCCAGGTGAAACGGTCTCAGATGTATGCCAGGTGAAACGGTCTCAGATGTATGCCAGGTGAAACGGTCTCAGATGTATGCCAGGTGAAACGGTCTCAGATGTATGCCAGGTGAAACGGTCTCAGATGTATGCCAGGTGAAACGGTCTCAGATGTATGCCAGGTGAAACGGTCTCAATTTGGAATGGACTGGTTGACGAGGCCACTGTCTAGAATGCGCTAGGCAAAGCCACTGGGTGGCGGTTGTGTCAGGATAGCTGAGTGGCGGTTGTGTCAGGATAGGTGAGTGTGAGGTGCAGTTGACTTGTTACAATGCATGAGGTTGTCCGATTGCGCACCCTCACACACCTAACATCTCATGCACCGCTTGCTCCCACCCATCCCATGTGTGTGTGCAGGCGCTGCCAAAGGACAAGGCCCTCAGCTTCACCATCCGCATGAACATCCTTTCAGCCTTCTTGGAGCTCGAAGGCCATGATGGCAACCGGGGGAAGGGGGAGTTTGATATGAAGATTGAACTGCCCAAGAAGTTCACGTATGGAAAGATGTGAAGTGCGTATCATAATTGCTCTGTTGAACAGACCCCAGGGCAAAAATGCCAGAAATAGCTTCCATGCATTTTCTGCTCTTGCCGAAACAAGGGTTCAAGTTTGGTTGGTCTCTCAAGTTCAGTAACCACATGTGTTCTGTAACATACACAGTGGAAAGCTGGAAACTAACTCGGTGCCCACGATACCTTGCTTCGTTTACACAGCTTTTGCTCACTGAGGAAAATTACATGAATTTGATTCCGGTACAGTGCTCGCATTCGACTTCACCATTGATAAACGCTCTTTGTTATATAGAGAAAAAAATCCCAAACAATTCACCCAGTTCATTGGTTTTGCATAACCTAGCTGGCTCCCACCTGAAACAACAAAAATCGCCGATGCCGGGGATCGAACCCGGATCTTCCGCGTGACAGGCGGAGATACTGACCATTATACTACATCGACACATCAGGATGGATACCGTATCAAATATGGCACATTAAAATTTACAACTCAAGCCCAGCTGTGCACGCACTAATTCACAAACATGGAAGGGAAACCATGAGTAGGGTCAACTGAAGCTAAATGCTGATTCAGCCTTAAGTGCATTTTAGAGTCTTCCCTATGTTGGAAATGAGAAGCCGACACCCTCTTCACCTACCATACTAGGGTGCGTGTTTTTTGCTATGGGGGGGGACTACGCATCAATGAAAAAAGAAACTCCTTCGGGTTACCAAGAGAGACGGCAGAAAAGAGGCGGCCAATAGACACGAGGGAGAGAGAGGGAGAGGGGCGAATGGGGGAAGGGAGGTCAGGGGGAGGGGGAGGGGGAAGGGGGGAAATGGGGGAAGGGGGGGCGGAGCGACGGGGAAGGGGGGGTAGAAGAGAGGGGGGAAAGGGGAAGGGGGGATATAGAGCAAGGATCGGCTGGAGACATCAGCCGGCCATTCTGTCAACATGGTAGGCAAGACAGTGACCAAGCCAGCAGAGGCTTACTCCAGGCAGGCACTGCCCGTAAGCACCATTGCCCCCGTCAGCATGCTTCAGCCAGCAACAGTACAGACCATGTGTCTGTCAGTCCATGCCAATCTCTGCCCTCCGTGTTTCAGTCGGTCGGTCGGTCGGTCGGTAGGTCGACCAGTCGAGCCGTCCCTCCGTCCTCCGTCCCTTATCCTCCGTCCCTTATCCTCCGTCCCTTATCCTCCGTCCCTTATCCTCCGTCCCTTATCCTCCGTCCCTTATCCTCCGTCCTCCGTCCCTTATCCTCCGTCCCTTATCCCTCCGTCCTCCATCCCTTATCCTTCCTTCGGGAAGTCCGTACGTCCGTTCGCCGTCGTTACGCCGTCGTTACACCGTTGTTACACCGTCAGTGCAGCCATCATCCGTCTTCCTGTGCCGTTTGTGGCATCTGTAACAGTGAGAGCAGCAATGAACAGGTTGCCCTGCAGTAGTTATCAGTGCCTGACTCTCTCACTCTTCGCCTCCCCATCCACTTTCTTACATCCCTCCCCCCTGCCTACCTGCTTGCCTCCCTCCCTTCCCTAACAGGCTCCATTTGCCACAACCTCTCTCGATTAATCCTCTGCCCCTCACGTTACTTGGCCTGCCTCCCTCCTCTCTCCTTCCATCACTCCCTCTCTTGTTGCATACCTCCCCTCCTCCCCCCAGCTCTACATCCCCCTTTCACGCCCTCCCTCCTTCCAACCCCCTCTCTCCCTCCCTCCTTCCATCCCCCAATCTCTCCCTTTAGATTTCCATCCCGCTCTCCCCCCCTTCATCACCCTCCCCTTAAGAAAAACACGTCAAGATATATTGCAACGCAACAACGGGGTTTAGAGAGGCAGGCCGAACAGCGCAAGGGCAGAGCCGGATGACACAGAGCACCAAAACACCAGTAGCGTAGCGCAGGCAACACAGGTGCCACGAGCCAACAACACAAACAGCGCAGACAACACCAGCGACCCACCAACAAAACAAACAGCGCATGCACCGCCAACAGGCAGCTGCACGAAACGAACCAGCACCCGGATGGACCAACCCAAGCACAAAGACGCAACACCAGAACCCAAACGACACAACTCTCACCTTTCACGCACTCAGTCAGTCCTTCCATTTTCTTCTCAATATGGCCGGTACCGCGACCGCCCCCCGCCATCCCCATTCCGCCCCTCTCCTCCCCCCCTCTCGTATTCCCTCTCCCTCTCCCTCCCGTCCTCCCTATACCCATACCCACCACCGTACCCACCCCCATAACCCCCACCCCCACCCCCACCACCACCACCTCCACCATAACCCCCCCACCATACCCACCACCATACCCCCCACCTCCTCCTCCTCCCCCACCTCCTCCACCTCCTCCCCCCCTCCCCCTCTCCGCCCCTCCCCCCTCCCTCCGCCAGGGGCCCCCGGCCTGGGCTGCGCCATGCGGATCTCGTGGATGGGGGTGCTCTTTATCATGCGCTGGCTGCGCGCACACGCAGCGTCCGCGGCCGCAAACGAGTTGAAGCGCACGTAGCAGAAGCCGCGGCGGGCACCCGAGGCTCGGTCCTTGGGGAAATACACGTCCTCCACCGTGCCGTACCTGGGGGTGGGGGGTGGGGGGGAGGGAGGGGAGGGGGGATGGAAAAGAGGAGAGGGGGAGCGGCAAAGGAGTTGAAGCGCACGTGGCAGAAGCCCCTGCGAGCGGCTGAGGCCCAGTCCTCTGGGAAATAGACGTCCTTTACTGTGCCGTACCTGTGGGGGAGAGGGGAGGGGAGGAAGGGAGGGGGGAGGGGGGGAAGAGGGGGAACGGGGTGGAGGAAGGGGGATGAAGAGGAGGAAAGAGATGTTGAATCTGCGGGCGCCTGAGGCCCTACCTTGGGGAAATACACCCCCTCTCCACTGTGCCGTAGATGTGTGCAGTGCAGAGGGGTGCGGAGAAAGGGAGAAAGGAAGCATAGGGAGCATCAGCGGCAGCAAAGGAGATGGGGCGCAAGTAGCAGAAGCCTCTCCGTGTGCCGGACGCCATATGGAGCAGTAAACGTATTTTACTGTGCCGCAACTAAGAGGTGGAGGGAGAGTGGGGGGGGGGAGGGGAGGGACGTGGTCCTTCACGCCTTGCTCGCTTATCCCCTCCCGCACCCCGCGTGATACAAGTCTCGTTCTGTTCTGAGGCGCCTCAAAACAGCACTGCACTTACTGCTCAAAGTGGTCCTTCACGTCTTGCTCGCTGATCTCCTCCTGCACTCCGCCCACAAAGATCCGAAACTCATCGTCCATCCCTGCTCCTCCCCCTCCCCCTCCCCCCCCTCCTCCCCCTCCTCCACTCCTCCCGTACCCTTCCATGGAGTTTGAAAGAATATACCCCCCTCCATAGCCCGAACCTAGACCAGCTCCGGCTGACAGACCGCCATAGCCGGCAGATGTGACTAGAGGCACGGCGGAGTAATATTCCAAGCCTGCTAACGAGCCTCCTGCCGGACCTAGAGAGCCTCGAGGTGCAGCTGCTGCGGCTGCCAGGCCGAGGGAAGACGGCGGGTACGCGGAGGTTCGGTGGGAGGGTCGGTCGTCGTTATAGGCTCGGCGGCGGGTGGACTGCTCCGGTCCTCGAGGTTCGGCTTTGGTGATGGGAATGGTTACCCCGCAGATCTCGTATGAGTCGTTTTCCACCTGATTTTAGGCACCAGTACGGGGGGGAAACGAAGAGATTTAGAGGTGAATTGGAGGACGAAAGGTCGACGAGAGGTATTCGTGAGCCTGAATAATAATCCGGTCCTTTAACGCCTAAACGGCTAAACGCCTAAACGGCCAAACGCCTAAACGCACGGCTAACCGGCGGACGCCTTCAAATCCTGATCGAGATTCTGTGCATCATCAATTTCCAGATCGACAGCGCGACGGTGAACGGATCGCGAGGCTTGCACACGTCGATCGAGCAACACTTTTGCCCTCCCTTCCCCCCGACCCCTCCTCCACCCCTTACCGCGGCTTTCACTACGTCCTCCTCTTCGAAGGATATTCACGCGAGCCTTTCAGCGGGCCGGTGAACGGATCGCGAGGCGCCTCGAAACAAAACAACACTTTGACAAAGTAGCACTCCATCCCTTACCGCGGCTTTCACAGCGCCTTCCTCTTCGAAGGATATAAACGCGATGCCTTTCAGCGCGCCGGTGAACGGATCGCGCGGCACGTACACGTCGATCACGGTCCCGAACTTCTCGAAGAAGCTTCGCAAAACCTCCTCCTTATGCTCCTCCGAGATTCCCGCTCGCAGAAAAACGCGATAGCGATGCGATGGCATGGTTGCCCTAAATAATTCAGTGGCGCTTATGGCAGAGTTTACGGAGGCGAAACCCAAGAACAAAGCTGCAGTAAGGGTACCAGCTGCTGCTGCGTACCAGCGCAGCAGTAAATCGGGAAGTGCAGCAGGTGGGGGCGGCTGGGTGAGGTGCTGGGGGATGTAGATGGCGAAGCTAGTTGGCCAAACAACGGCTGAGATTCGACAGAATCCATGTAGCATACAGCAGTTTTTTCCAATTCTTAATCACCGTATATAGAAATTGGCACGTCTAGAATTGTGCTCCTTCAAGCATCGAAATGAAGACAAATTGCCATCATGTGACCTCAAATCAAAGCTCGCAGTACCCAGTGACAATTAAGTGTAATGATTGTACTGCACATCTATTATCAATTGACACAACCATTGCGGATATAGCTCAGGTAATGAGCTCAGTGTGGCACACTTGGTCATAGGAGTATAGTTAGGCGGTACTTCTTCTTATGCACTACGGCATTAGCCACCTTTACCATGCCAATGCACCCCTGATCAGCCCCTAAACCAGGCACCGCAAATGGATGCCTTCTATTTTGAGCCCTGAAAAGCATATTGTGTACCATCCTCCTCCTGTAGTATATTGAGTTCTTACTGCCTTCCCCTGCCAAGAGAGCGTGATTAGCTCACGCGAATGGCCACCTTGAGGCCCTTGTAACAGTCTGTTCCTACTCTGCTTCCAAAAAACAGTGTTTTTCCCCTCTCAGCCCTTCTGACTAGGTACACATCCATACCCACTTTCCTAGGAGGACCTAATGGATCTGCACTGTAGAAGTTGCATGAATCAAAACTGTCTTCATCTGGAAATTGCTGCACATCGCGCTCCGCGTCAGACCACCTAAATACTGAGGGAGGGAGGAGGTAAGAGATAAAAATGGATATGGTATTGGATTGGCGAAAGCTTTTGAAAACGTTCCTACTTTGTGCTTTCAGAGTGTTAAGAGTTTCTGGTTTAGGGTTAAGGGTGGGCGTGTTAATGAAATTCCACCATATTGGCCATCAAGCCTGGGAATGAGACCGTAGGAAACCCAGTGCGAGATTATCATAGTGATTCACTAATGAGGATGGTCTGCTCTCAAAGGAGTTTCGATTCCACACGATGCAAAATATCCGCATTCGTGCTAACGTGTTTCTAGCTAGTACGAGTCATGGCTCACCGAGGAAGGTGCCGAGATTCATGACGACAGGCGGAGTCTACATTCAACACGTTAACTCCAGGGGCTCAAATTGGAGCGCCCTTTTTGCAGCCCCACTGGTACCATCGTCTGCGGTAGGGCCTTGAGGTATGCTCTGACCGTCTAGTAACAAACCACTGCCACACTCACCAAGAGGGCCGCCCACGTGGTACTCAATTTCTGTAGCAGAGTGTCTTAAACAATGCGTTGATCGGCTAGTAACGAGTCACTACGTACTCACCGAGAAAGGTGCCGGGATTCACAGCAGGCTGAGTCCACGAGTCAACTCCGAGGCTCCATGGGCTCAAGGTGGACCGCCCTTTTTGCAGCCCCACTGGCACCAACGGCTGCGGTTGATGGTAGCGCACAGCGAGAGATATGGAAAGTTTTCACCCAACCAGGAGAGAGACAAAGGAGGAAAAGGAAGAAAGCTGTTAGGCAGAAGACGCTATCCTTCTCCAGCAGGATGATATGCTATGCGATGCAAAGCACGTTGAATGGATGATCGGAGTTTGCGGTTTTGAACAGAATTTGAGAACAGAGAGTTTCATCTGCGAGCATTGCGCGCAGCGAGTGGTTTCAAACCGCCGCGCCAGTGCAGAAGCCTCGATGTTACTCCAAAACAGGTCGTTATTTCGTGCGTTCCTAGAAGAAGGGTCCGGTCGGGATCGGACTGCTGACTCAGTAGGCTTTGGGCCTTAGAGTCTGTTTACCTTGGAATCTGCGACGCCTGCAATGGACGTGAGGAGGAAGGGGGAATGACATAAAATAAGGATTAATTTACATCCAGGAATCCGGAGGTAAGGACATTCTTCATCCTGCGGAAAACGAGTGTGCACGTCCGCACAGTATGAGATCGAGACAAGAATGCTATGTGGCGAGGTTAGCGAAATATGGTGTGAGTCGTGCAGCGCGAGATGGTTCTTTCCGCAACTGAGCTGCGCTAGCATTGCTAGCCATCCTTAGCTTCTAACTTGAGAGGTATAACCTCACAAGCGGAATACAACGTACTCGAGAAGAGCGCGAGAAGGAGCACGCACGCCGCGATCGCGGTTGAGAAGGGCCTTCGCATGGTCGCCGATGCGCGTGCGCGGTTCGCGGTTAATGACGCTGCGAGGTGTTACTACTACTGGAATCGCGGTGCCCTGCTCGCTTGGCTTTTGCCGCGAAGCAAGGTTCTGATAAGAGCTGATCACGCCCGGCCTCTTGAAGAAGCTGATCCGACAACACAGGGGCTGAGTTGAGATAAATTCCTAGTAAGCCATCTCAGGAGCCTTGCAGCGGGAGGGATGAGGAAGTGCGAGTGCGATCACCTCGTGCTATGCCTGACTCTCTGATGAGGAAGGATATAAGCGCTCAACGATGGGTGGAATCGGCGGAAAGGTAGGGTCCGCTGAGGAACGATAAAGATAAAAGAATAAAAGAGTCGGTGGCGGATGATACGGGCGGGCTTGGGACCCGACCCGACGCGATGGTGTGATGCCATCGAGGAAACATCACGAAAAAATTTGCGTGATTTTGGGGCGAGGTGTGCGGCGGCGGCGGATGGGTTTAATTGAACTCGGACGACTATCTTGTCTAGATCCTGTGCAGAATTGCAAGCAGCGATTTGCCGCGCGTACCACGTGGCACGGCCTACTCGCAAGGACCAGCAAGGGGACAGTCAGGTAAAATGAGCTTGTGAACCTGTTGTTGATACGACATATCAGCTAGTAAAATTGTCAAGCTGATAAGGTCAGAGGGAACTTCAGGGGATGTGCTAAACATTGGTTCGGTTGGGTTGGGATGGTTCTAATTAGTTTATTCAAGGTTAGAATGGGTTCATCTGCGTTGAGCTGGGTTAGGACGAGGGAGAGGCAAGGCTGGGCAATGGGCAATTTCAACACCGACATCCACTTCATTTCATAGTTTCCGCCTAGGTCGGGAAATTCACATTTCATTGTATGAATGCGGTTCGGAGGGGACAACTGTAGGTCGTGGCGGTTCGCCAAACCTGTTTGCCGCTCCCGCCAGCCGGGTAACCCGAAGGGAAACCAGCCGTTGCAAGCAAGCGAGGGATTGCGCCGGCGACGTCGCTGAAGCTCCAAGTGGTGGGGACAAGGCTCGGATTTGTCGTCGTCGCAAGGTCCACGTCAGCTAGAGAGCGGGAGACCAGGAGGAGCTGTCTTGGTTCATTTCCCGTTTGTCCCGCCCGCAATTGGCTTATTTGCACCCTTGTCGGCTACCCGCATCAACGAACCTCGATAGAAGCCACGAAATGCAACCAGCACACTCATTATCACGACCAATCTTCAAATATGAAACTGCAAGTCACACTACATACAATTATACATTTCCACTTATGCACCTCGTGTATTTCAACATCATAGTAGAACACGTTTTCCTCAACATCAATACCAACACCATTATATGTTAGGGCGTACATGATCCAGGAGGGGATAAGCTGCGGCTGCAAACAATTCCTAAAGTATTACATCTCCTTACCTAACAAGCAAGTCAATGCTTGAATAACATGAACTAGCACTTAAATTAATATATATTTACATGTATATAAAATTGTAGACTTGGTAGGTTTTACTGGATCCTACTGTAGAGGGTACAACCCCCCTTCTTGTATCCCTCTCTCTTCTAGTCCAAACTCTCTTCTCTCTCGACATTTTCCCCTAGCCTAAAACCTCATGCCATTTACCATGGCTTCCATCTCTTCGTAGGTTGTTTAGCATGGTTTCAGAGCATCCGCAAAGTCCGCTCCTCCCTCCTGTCCTTTCCGCGCCGCCGCCACGGCCATGTCGTGCTGCCGTGACGGTGCCGTCGTGCTGCCGTGGCAGCGTCTACGCACCAGCATGCGGACGGCACGGACGGCAGCGGCCAACGCCCGGTCTTAGCGCTGGCCAGCACGCCCGCATACAGCCTGTTCTGGTAAATGAAGTTTTGCATTCCTGCAAGTTCTGTTTTTAGTGTAGCTCGCAGTATAGAGTTTCTCGGTAAGGAAACAAGTCCTAGTGCTGACGTCAGCAAAGCATCGCGGTTCTCGAGATGACGTCACATACCGCTTCAGTTACGCGAATAGGCGTAACGAGTCGTTTCAGTCACGCGAACAGTCGCGATCCTATAGTATGACGAATAGGTCGCATAGCACGATAGTGACGAACAGGTACATTAGCGAACAGGTACTTTCCCTAGAGCTATAAATCCTTGTAATGCCTTTCTATTATTAACCTTGACATTCCACAGAATTATGTGCTCAGGTTATTCAAGCTTCGACTACCCACAAGTTCATGTGCTCAGGTTCACTCTGATAAGACTTCCGTTGTCTTATTAGTCTACCATTCCAGCAAAGATTCTTGGTTAAGTACTCGTGTTTGTAGATTCTATACCTAGTCTTCTACAACACCAGACGATTTATTTCATGGTATGAGAGCTATTTGGAATGAAGACTACCGTCAACTATGACTGGTTCATCACCAGCACCATCTGCCGGATCAGTTACTGGGACTACTGGAGCACATGCCTCCACTACGGCCGCTGGTCTCTCAGCCTCTGGGCACTTTCCACCAGCCTACGCCAATATCAGTATGCAACATCAGAATCCGCCTTCTGTGAATACTCCAGGTGCTCCATCGACTGCACCTGCAACGCAACAGCAACAATCACAAACGACAACACAGCAGCAAGCGTCAGTACAGCCACCAGTTTCAACGCAATCAATTTCATCTGCGTTCAATGGGATGAGCCTTGACGGCTCAAGTTACATGTGTGGAGCTACAGCTCCAAATACTGGTTCGTTTGCCTTCTCACCTTTCGTACAGCAGCCGCAGTCGCAGCAGTTTCAGCATCCCTTTTATATCTTCGGTCGTTCTCCTGC